AGTATCACCACTGCAGTGCGATGAATTGGACCAGAATTCTTGCATGAAACCTTAAAACAAAGGACATTTTTGGTAAAACGAGGGGGGGGGGGACTTTAGGTGTCTTGAAAGCTAGGCTGACCAGTCAGCACTGTGATTACATGCTGAATTAACATAATGGGCCTCTGGAGAGTCAGAGCTGTGAGGTGCTGTGAGAGGTCATCTCGCCCCGTGCTCTACTTTTGCAGATTGAAGCTTAAGAGCCAAGTGGTTTGCCTAAGATCTTAGCAACGTGCTGGTCTCCATGCTCTTGGCTATTGGATGTTTTTCCTTACTATCAGACCGATCTTCAGAACCAGGAAGCTGGATATTGAAAATACATCTTTCACTCTGTCTTGGCATATCTGAGTTCATTAAAACATGTTCTTTAAAACTTTAGCATCCCCCTATGAAATAATAGATGTGGCAATGGTCATCAAAAGCTACGGAAACCATTAGGCGAAAGCTAAAAGAGAGTTTTATGATGAGTGGAACAGGCTGACAACACCCAAACCGCACTGATCAATTTTAATATCACCAAAAGAGAGATAGCCGGACTCTACATGCTTCCCAAAGTAATGCAATGAAAGTGCTTGCACCTTGACTAAGAGAAAACAAAAGACTCAAATTACTAAAAGGAGAAAAGAAAGAAAGGACATAATTACCAACTTTCAGAGATAAAAAGGATTATACAGGGGTGGGCTATAAGGGGTCCATGGAGGAAAAAGAGGACGGACATAGGTAAAACTTTCAACAATAAAGATTTTTTTAAAGGAGTGTAAAAAAATAATATAAACTATTCTACACCAACCAAATAGATAATCTACATTACCTGGGCAAATCCCTAGAAATACAAATTTCTACCTAAACTGACTCAAAAAGAAATAGAAAATTGTAATAGATCTATAACAAGTAAAGAAATTAAATCAGTAATCAAAACCTCCCAACAAAGAAAAAACCCACATGGCTCCACTGGTGAATTCTACCAAACTTTAAAGAAGAATTAAGCCTGCCCTAGCCAGTTTGGCTCAGTGGGTAGAGTGTCGTCCTGCAGACTGAAGGTTCCCGGGTTCGATTCCAGTCAAGGGCGCTTACCTCCATTGCAGGCTCATCCCCGGCCCAGGCCCTAGTCAGGGCTCATGCAGGAGGCAACCAATCAATGTGTTTCTCTCACATCGATATTTCTCTCTGTCTTTCCCTCTCTCTTCCACTCTCTCTAAAAATCAATGGGAAAATATCCTCAGGTGAGGATTTTCTTAAAAAAAGAATAATTAATCCCAATTCTTCCCAAACTCTTAAAAAAAAACTCATCCTATGAGGCCAGCATTACCCTGATATTAATGCCAGATAAAAATACTACAAGGAAAGAAACTATAGATTAATGTCCCTTGTGACTATAGATGCAAAAAATCCTCAACAAAATAGTAGCAAACCGAATTCAGCAGCATATTAAAAGGATTATACAGTATGTCCAAGTGATATTTGTCCTAGGAATGCAACATATGAAATCAATGTAATATGTGATATTAATAGAATGAAGGGGAGAAACCACATGATCATCTCAACTGATGCAGAAAATATTTAATGTTGAAAACATCCAATACCTTTTCATAATAAAAAGTCAATAAACTAGATATAGAAGGGAACTTCCTCAACATGATAAAGGCTTTGTCTGAAAAACATCATACTCAATGGCAAAAGACTGAAACCTTTCCCCCTAAGATCAGGAACAAGACAAGAATGCCCACTTTTGCCACTTCTATTCAACATATTAGAAGTCCTAAACAGAACAATTAGATTTTAAAAAGAAGAAGAAGAAATAAAAGGTATCCAAAGTGGAAAAGCAAAACTATCTCTAAAACCCTAAAGAATTCACAGAAAAATTATTAGTGCTAATAAACAAATTCAGCAAAGTGGTAGGATAGAAAATAAAAAATCAGTTGTGTTTCTATATACTGCCACTGAACAATCAGAAAAGGAAATTGAGCCCTAGCCAGTTTGGCTTAGTGGATAGAGCGTCGGCCTGCGGACTGAGGGGTCCCAGGTTCGATTCCAGTCAAGGGCATGTACCTTGGTTGCGGGCACATCCCCGGTGGGGAGTGTGCAGGAGGCAGCTGATCGATGTTTCTCTCTCATTGATGTTTCTAACTCTCTATCCCTCTCCCTTCCTCTCTGTAAAAAATCAATAAAATATATTTTAAAAAAAGAAAAGGAAATTGAGAAAATAATTCTACTTACAATAGCCTCATACAAGAATCAACCAATGAGTGCATAAATAAGTAGAACAGCCGAAACCGGTTTGGCTCAGTGGATAGAGCGTCGGCCTGCGGACTGAAGGGTCCCAGGTTCGATTCCAGTCAAGGGCATGTACCTGGGTTACAGGCACGTCCCCAGTGGGAGATGTGCAGGAGGCAGCTGATCGATGTTTCTCTCCCATCGATGTTTCTGACTCTCTATCTCTCTCCCTTCCTCTCTGTAAAAAATCAATAAAATATATTTAAAAAAAAATAAGTAGAACAACAAATCGATGTTTATCTCTTTCTCTCTCTCCCCTCCTCCCTATCTAATATAAATAATATAAAAAGAAATTATGGTGTATATATATTCAATGGATTATTATTCAGCCATAAGAATGAATGAAATCTTGTCATTTGTGACATGAATAGACCTCAAAGGCATTATGCTAAGTGAAATAAGTCAGACAGAGAAAGACAAATACCTATGATCTCTCTTATATATATAATCTAATTTTTTTTAAAAAAACCATGTTTACAGATGCAGAGAATAGATTTGTGATTGCCAGAGGTGGGAGTGGGGGTGAAAGAAATGAGTAAAAGGGGTCAAAATGTTTTTAATTTTTTTTTTAAATTAAGCTAGGGTATACAGAATACCAAATACAGAATTGGTAACATCTGTGAAAAAGTATTAATAAAAATAAGTGGAGCCCTGACCGGTTTGGCTCAGTGGATAGAGCGTCAGCCTGCGGACTCAAGGGTCCCAGGTTCGATTCCGGTCAAGGGCATGTAACTTGGTTGCGGGCACATCCCCAGTAGGGGGTGTGCAGGAGGCAGCTGATCGATGTTTCTCTCTCATCGATGTTTCTAACTCTCTATCCCTCTCCCTTCCTCTCTGTAAAAAAAAATCAATAAAGTATATTTTTAAAAAAATAAGTGGAAGGAAGCATTAAAAAAGAAAGAAAACAAAAGTCTCAGTTGTTATGTTGTTACAACTGAGCTAAATGGAAAAGACCTTTATTTTTTTTACAGCCCAACAACCTTCTTGCCGTAGGAATGCCCAGAGGCAGGAGGTGAGGAGAGCAGCCGGCTGCTCCAGGCTGGGCAGACCGAAAGCAGGGTCCCTGGGGAAACAGAAAGAGAGGAGGACCTTCCCTCATGGGTGGAAAGGCCGGCCTAAGGCCAGTTTTCCGCTGCTGCCCACAGAAAGCAAGAATGCCCACTGGGCTCCTGTCCCAGGCCCCCCACAGCAGCAGTCGGTCAGTTTTACACCTTTTCACTTCTAAAGCTGTCCTCTGTTTATGACCTATTCACCTTCCATATAAACTTACCAGGCCGAGGCCAGCTCACACACTGTGGCAAGCTCAGGGTCAGGTTCAGTTCAGTGTGTTTTCAATGCTTTCTGTAAGCCCAGCACCTTGCTATATGCTTAGGAAAATAAAAGATAGTTAAGATGTGCTTTCTGCCCCTCCAGGAAATTACAGTACAGAACATCAAAATGTTTTTTAATGTTCATACCTCAGTGGAAAAAATTGTTCTGTATGGATCATATGTGTGTGTGTATTAAAAAAACCTAAATTTTTGTCTGCCCATTTAAAAGTGATTAACACTTACTGACTGCTTATGACATGCCATGCTCTATTCTCAATGGTCTATATATATTAATACTTCATTACAAGACAGCCACAAACATTAAGATCTCGTAATAATGAGATACGTGCATATTTTAAAATGATTTATTAATCAATAATTCAAGTTATTTTTGTATCTGCTAACACATTACAACTAACATGGCCTGGAAGCAAAAGTTTTAAATGTTATACAAATCGTAGTGGTCTCAAACTATCTGAGGCTACTTTTTTTTTCAAGCTTTAATGTCTTATGTATTGTTGACACTATTACAGATGTTCCCCCCCCACGCCCGTTTCCCACCTCTACCCAGCACCCCCCATGTCTTTTTTTAAAAGAATATTTTATTGATTTTTTACAGAAAGGAAGGGAGAGGGATAGAGAGTTAGAAACATCGATGAGAGAGAAACATCAATCAGCTGCCTCCTGCACGCCTCCTACTGGGGATGTGCCTGCAACCAAGGTACATGCCCTTGACCGGAATTGAACCGGGGACCCCTTAGTCTGCAGGCCGACGCTCTATCCACTGAACCAAACCGGTCAGGGCCCCCCATGTCTTTTTTAATTTTCAACATTTTTTGAGATTATGATTTTTTAAAATTTAAATTCTTTATTGTTTTAAGTATTACATAAGTCTCCTTTTTCCTCCATTGACCTCTCCCAGGCCACCCCCAACCCCCAGCACATGCCCTCCCCCCATCTGTGTCCATTGGTTATGCTCATATGCATGCATACAAGTCCTTTGGTTGATCTCTTACCCCCTTCACCCGCTGCCTTCCCTCATAGGTTGGACAGTCTGTTCCATGTTTCTATGACTCTGGATCTATTTTTGTTCATCAGTTTATGTTGTTCATTATATTCCACATGAGTGGGATCATGTGGTATATGTCTTACTCTGACTGGCTTATTTCGCTTAGCATAATGTTCTCCAGTTCCATCCATGCTGTTGCAAATGGTAAGAATTCCTTCTTTTTTTACAGCAGCATAGTATTCCATCGTATAGATGTACCACAGTTTTCTAATCCACTCATCTGCTGATGGGCACTTAGGCTGTTTCCAAATCTTAGCTATGGTAAATTGTGCTGCTATGAACATAGGGGTGCATATATCCTTTTTGATTGGTGTTTCTGTTTTCTTGGAATATATTCCTAGAAGTGGGATTACTGGGTCAAATGGAAGTTCCACTTTTAACTTTCTGAGGAAACACCATACTGTTTTCCACAGAGGCTACTTTTTAAAGGCCTGCTGTACACCTTTAGGAAAGTTCATCATTAAGGCTAGAGGCTGTAAAACCACATTGCAAGTGCTCTTCTTAATCACTGTTGCCTTTTTTGTCCAGCTTTACGCCAGCTGTGATTAGCTTATGGTAGGTTTTACCTTGTAATGTGGCCAATGAAGGGCTTGTGCTAGGTATGGGAGAAATGCAAGATCAGCTGTGTAGAGGGAGCAGAGAGGAAGGGCATTTAGCTCTGCTGACAGGGGCAGGGTAAGGGAAGGCTTTCTTTGTGAAGGGATGCATTCTAGGCAGAGGGAACCACCTGGAACCGCATGAGCCGAGATCCAGAAGCTTTAAGCAGTCGGTGGCTTCAGAGGACTATTTGCTCAGTGTTGCTGAATGTAAAGATGGTAAAGATGGTCTTAAGAGCTTTTTTTTAAAAGTCGGGGGTGGCTGTTGAGTTGTTCTGGGCTTGACAAGAACAACCTTAAAGAAACAAACTAACCTGAGATATGAGGCTCCTGCCCACAAGAACACCTGTTTGTCCACGTGGAAGAGCATCTGAGGGGTTGGCAGGAAGCTCAAGCCCCAGGTGCTCACGGGCCCAATCCCTCCCCCCTATCAGCTGGGATTCTCTGCACAGTTACGTCATTGATGGAAATTCAAGCAGCTCAGCGGCGACCAGCCAACCATTTCCAAAGAGACTCCTAGTAACGTGGAGCTGAACCCAGTAATGCAAACCCGCTCAAGGTGCGGCCCAGCTGAGTGGGTGTGCTTGGAGGATGCCAGCCTCTGACACCAGTGGAAGATGAGGAGCCAACAGGTCATGGTAGAAAAGGTAAAGGGAGATTTCCATTTCAAATCTGCTTTGCAAACAGCGACGGATGGCCTTATCTTCTTGAAGGAAAAGGAAAGGGAATCAAGGCGCTGAGGTCAGGAAATGTGCGCCCAAAAGGAACTCAAGGCTCATGGTGCCATGTTGGAAACCACTGGTGCCTGCAGGGAGCGGAGGAGATGGGATTGAGCATACAAGAGGATTTCTCCAGTTCTATACCTTCCTGAAAAGCAGGCAGAGGTATGAAGACCAAATGCTCGTCTCCTTCCTGAGCAAGGACCCGTCTGCCTGCCTCAGTGAGCACCATGGCAGACTGGGGAATTGCATTCTGTGAAATGGTAGGACCGGACTCTGCCCTGAACAGCTCCAAGGCTGTTGGTTCCCAGCGTCTCCTTTTGGCACTGCTCTGCCTGTCACAGAATTGCTGGTACACTTCTACTGCACTCTTACACAATGCAAAGTGAAACTTCATTGACTCTTTTCATGTGGAACTAAAAAAGGGGGGGCTTCATTGACAGAGTGAGAAAGAACAGAAATGATTAGGGATTCCTCTCTAGGAGCTCTCGGGTTCACAGACACAGATTTTATTGTCCTTGCTCCTTGGCAGCTAATGCTGAAACAGAATCTTCCAAGCTGGCTGCCCTGGACCGAGTTTTCTAGACCAGAGGCTGGCAAACTACAGCCCACGGGCCAATTCTGGCCCACCATCCATTTTTGTATGGCTTGAGAACTAAGAATAGCTTTTACATTTTTTAAAGTGTTAAAAAAAAAAAAAGGAAAGACTTACAGTGGACAATAATGTATGGTACGCTTAAAATTTGGTAAGAGGATAGATTTCATGATAATAATAACTTCACAATAATAATAATTTTTAAAAGAACAGTCAAGAAAAGGATGGCTAGTATTTCGCGACACATGAAAATCACATGAAATTCAAATTTAAGTGTTGCTACATAATGTTTGATTGGAAGACAGCCATACTCAGACTTAGGGCTGCTTTCACACCACAGCGGTAGAGGCAAAGGCAGGGCTTGCTCCCAAACATCCTTGTGAGGCTTGGAGGTTCCCAAGACTGATCGGAACCCATGAGACTAACCTGCTAATTCAACCAGGGTTGTTTACAGAATGTTAACTCTTTTACAACTACATTGGTGTTTACATGCCAAAGTCATTGTAGAACAGGAGGGGACCTGTTTGGGGTTGACTATCCCTGCCATGACTATCACCGCCAAGGAAATGTAGGTCAATTGGCGGGTGGGGGGTGGGGGGGCTCTTAAAAGTCCCTGGGTTCTGTGTAACAAGTCAAATTTGTGCAGGTTTCTTAGGGCCATTGCAACCAAGACCCTCCCCAACCTCCCTCTCCACCCCAAAGGCCCAGGTCTAAATAGTCTTTCTCAGTGGTTCTCAACCTTCTGGCCCTTTAAATACAGTTCCTCATGTTGTGACCCAACCATAAAATTATTTTCGTTTCTACTTCATAACTGTCATGTTGCTACTGTTACGAATCGTAATGTAAATATCTGATATGCAGGATGGTCTTAGGCGACCCCTGTGGAAGGGTCGTTCGACCGCCAAAGGGGTCTCGACCCACAGGTTGAGAACCGCTGGTCTATCTGGAGTCTTTGAGGCTGCCAGCGGTGCCCCTCCTCTTTCCTTTGCTACGGGGAGCAGACAAAAATGAGTCCCACATTAGGAATGCAGCAAGCAGATGGACAGTTGCTGCGTTTTGGGTTGTTTCCAACCCCCCTTTCCTGTCTGCACCCTTCCCCCCATTTCTCCCAGTGTCCCAAGTACATTTTTTAAAAAGAGAGGGCAAAACACAGAAACTTCCCTCCTGACAGCCCCACTGCCTGTCCCCACTACTTCCCAAATTCCAGGCCAGCAGACAACCTCTGCCCCACTGGGGAGGTCTTCTCCAGGGACCATCCCTCCTCTCTGTTCTCTCAGCTCCCCTAGGATGAAGGAGGAGGCCTGAGAGTGGAAAGGGAGTGGGAAATCAAGGTATGAGCTGCCCACCCCACTTCTGGAGCCCTGTGTAAGGGCTGTGAGAAGCTGGTAAGCTGAAGGGTGGAAGGGAAACCACCTTCAATACCAGCAGCTGTTCAGACATTGGTGGGGAGTCTTCCCTAGGTGCCTCTGGCTAAGCTGCTCAACCTATGGGGGCTGTGGAGGTAGCGTGGAGGCACAGACCAGGGACCTTGTAGGGCAACAGGGAGTGAGAGCTGTGGGAGACACAGGCAGAGGGAAGACCTGTGCAGAAGTGGCCCACTCAGCCCCAGGCCATACCAAGCTGGACCATATCCACCCAGGTCTTGCTTGAGCAATTAGGCATCACTTAGGGTTCATTTCTAACTTGTGCTTCTTTGCTTGGTTTGGCTTACCTTACTTTCCACTCACATCCACCCACAGATTAGAAAGCAATTCCAATGTCATGATGCCATTTAAGACCAAAGGCAGTCCCAGTAGCCAGGAAGGCATTCCAGATGGTGTGGCGGGAGTAAGGAATTCCTGGGCTTACAGGGAGCAGGGAGAGTATGCAGACACCATCTGTGATCGCCGGGGAAATATAATAGGACCCATGGAATGGAGAACCGCATACAACCCAGCGTAGGAGGTTGTCTTTTTAGCCGCTCTAGGGTCTGGGGTCCTCTCCATAGACTGCAGGAAGGAAGTCCCTCCAATGTCATCCTGCTATGACCTCTTCCACCTCCCAATTTGAAAATGAAGTGCTGCCTCTCTACAAATGCCTCCAGCCTGGAAACCAAAGAGTCACTGGCGCCTGCCTTTCATTCCAATAGCTGTTCCCTTTTCTCCTGGCCCCCACCCAAGCCCTCCACCCCTTAATGAGCCACTGAATACAAGAGGAAATGCCAGCAGGACTGGGGGCCTGGTCACCTCACGGGCTCCAAAGCAGAGCTTGGCTGGGGGAAGGAGGGCTAACTTGATGTCATCGCTATTCAAGGGCCTGGGCTCTTCCTGCCCAGCTCTGGGTATTGGGCTCAGCAGCTGGTCCTGGGAAGAGATGAAGCTTCTGAGTTCTTGAACTGGATCCTGAGATGCTGATGCCTTCTGGAGACAAGATGGCGGTGGAAACCAAGAGGCCCTGGGGTGGTGCACACACAATACAGTGTACAGGTGATGTGTTATAGAATGGTGCACCTGAAACCTATACAATTTTGTTAACCAGTGTCACCCCAATAAATTCAATAAAAAGGGGGGAAAAAGAGTAGGACAAAGGATATTCATCTGATCTGCCTGCAAAACAACCAAATACCCACTGGCTACACCTTCTTGGGCCTCGTGAGATATGCATAAAAGTAGAAGCAATAATGCTCTCACTAAGCCCCATGTTATTGTAGATTATTGAATACATGCCTTAAAAGTAGGAATACAACTCAGCTGGTGTGGCTCAGTGGTTGAGCATAGACCTATGTATGACCCAGGATGTCATGTTTCGATTCCCCGGTCAGGGCACATGCCTGGGTTGCGGGCTTGATCCCAGTGTGGGGCATGCAAGAGGCAGCTGATCAATAATTCTCTCTCATCACTGATGTTTCTATCTCTCTCTCCCCATCTCCCTTCCTCTCTGAAATCAATAAAAATATATATATTTTTAAAAAGAATCGTGGGATGATTTTATATTTCCCCCAAGACATATTGTGAATATTCTTTAAGTTATTTTGTTAAATAAATTCCTCAGAGGACAAGAGGTTCCTATAGCATGCAGGACTGGGCTAATGGGAATGGGTCCCCTGACCCTACAAATACATAAATGTGGGTAAGCCATATCACTATAGATAGATGATAGATAGATAGATAGATAGATGATAGATAGATAGATAGATAGATAGATAGAACAGATACATATACATATACATATACATATACATATACATATACATATACATATACATATACAAGGTTAAAAAAAAAAAGGGAAGGGGAAGGGAAATCATCATGTTTTAGAACCAAAGAGGGAACTCACAGGCAGAGAGCTGTCACATGAGCCTGATGTGGCAGTCAGGGAGGGGGTGGGAACTGGGCCCGGGTGCCGGCTGAAACTGAGACCCTTGTGTAAAGCTGCCCAAAATGGACTCAAAAAACCTTCCCAGCAGAACAGAGAAAGAGAAAGCAACATATTTGTGTCTCAGAACTCAAGATGGGGGTTGAGGGGGCAGCAGCGGGAAACTCTCCTATAAGAAATTACCAAATCAAGTTTATGCTGTGTGGATCTAAATTTCTACTACCTGCCCCATGATAATGAAAATTCTAGACCAAGAAATTAACATAAAAGTTCATCTAGGTTCTGTTCTACCCTGGGGCTCCAGCAAAAGCAAATGCAAAATGGCTTTACTTCTAGAACACTGTTACTGAAAATAGAAGAATCCTAGCTGGAAATGAGGATAATAAAAACTAGAAACCACAAAAACAAAAATGAACCACCTGAAGAATGCTGAGTAGACACATGGAACTGGAAAATTGGCATCCCAAGTATTAGAAATGACAGAATAATCTGAAAGACACTACAAAACCAAGCATGTTGAAAGTTACTAAAGAGATAACAAAATAGAGCAGTGGTTCTCAACCTTCCTAATGCCGCGACCCTTTAATACAGTTCCTCATGTTGTGGTGACCCCCAACCATAAAATTATTTTTGTTGCTACTTCATAACTGTAATTTTGCTACTGTTATGAATCATAATGTAAATATCTGATATGCAGGATGTATTTTCATTGTTACAAATTTAACATAATTAAAGCATAGTGATTAATCACAAAAATAATATATAATTATATATGTGTTTTCCGATGGTCTTAGGCGACCCCTGTGAAAGGGTCGTTCGACCCCCAAAGGGGTCTCGACCCACAGGTTGAGAACCGCTGAAATAGAGCCTGGAGTGAAAAAATGGGAAATTTTCAGTCCTGCCTCTCAACTTAATTTTGAAACAGACTCTAAGCCTCTTCTTTCTCCTATTAAAGTGAGAGTTCACAGAAGGCAAACAAGCAAATGGTATGTTCAGGATCAGGTCTAGCAAACAACTATTAACCAGGAACAATAAAATACCAGTCTTCCTTCAAATTATGGATGCACCTGCAGAAAGAATTAGAACCTGTGACTCCCCCATGAGACACCCCAAGAAACCAGCAGCATTTCAGATTCCCCCTCCCAAGCACCGAACACGCCTCTCACTAAAGTCCCTGCCATTCATGAAGGAGTTCAAAGAGGACTGGGAGTTTTCTCTGGGAAGTAGGACTTCCCGTGTCCCCTATGGCCTTCTAGTGTCCCCGTGATCATCACTGCTTCAGCTATCAGCTGAAGAGAAGCCTTCTGAGGCTCCATCTCTACTCTCTCAGGAAAGGGCTGACCAGGGTTTGATCCCCCTTTTCTTTCATTCTGGTCTCCTGTTTTATCTATATACTAGAGGCCTGGTGCACGAATTAGTGCATGGGTGGGGTCCTTGGCCTGGCCGGCAATTGGGGCCAACCAGGGCCAGTCAGCCAGGGGAAGGACCGCAGGAGGTTGGCTGTGGGAGCGCACTGACCACCAGGGGGCAGCTCCTTCGTTGAGCATCTGCCCCCTGGCGGTCAGTGCATCGACATAGCGACTGACCAGTAGTAATGGTCACTTAGGCTTCTATATATCCTATATAATAAAACCCTCATATGCAGATGAACCAAATGGCGGGACAACCGGATGCTATGACGCTCACTGACCACCAGGGAGCAGATGCTCAATGCAGGAGCTGCCCCACTGCCGGTCAGTGCACTCCCATGGGGGAGCACTGCTCAGCCAGAAGCCAGGCTCATGGCTGGCAAGCACAGCGGTGGCGACGGGAGCCTCATCTGCCTCCACGGCAGTGCTAAGGACCCCTTGGAGCATGTCCTACTGCAGGGAGCGGGCCTAAGCCGGCAGGTGGACATCCCTGAAGGGTCTCAGACTGCGAGAGGGCACAGGCCGGGCTGAGGGACACCCCACCTCCCCAACCTCCCCACCCCCCCGCCGCAGTGCATGTCATGCACCAGGCCTCTTGTATAGATATACTAGTAAAAGCCTAAGCAACCAGCTGATCAGCCAATAGCTATGATGTGCACTGACCATCAGGGGGCAGACATTCAACGTAGGAGCTTCTGAGCGACAGCAACTTTGCAGAGTGCCCTCTCACACTCCAGACCCCTCGGGGGATGTCAGACTGCTGGTTTCGGCCTGATCCCCTCAGGCCAGGCCGAGGGACCCCACCTGCCGGAGGGACCACGCTCACTCTGAAGACACTCTTTGAGCCCCGGTGCCACCCCAGGTACAGCCAGCCAGGGAGGGACTGTGGGAGGTTGGCTCCACGGCATGTCCGGCCCATCTCGCCCAGTCCCGCCCTGCTGGCCACCTTCTAATTAATTTCCTTTCAATGTGCACGAATCTGTGCACCAGACCTCTAGTTTTAATATAAGGTCAAATAATTCTTCCATCCCTTTTTCTTTTTTCAAGATTGTTGTAATTATTCTAGACCCTGTGCTCTTCTATCTAAATCTTAGAATAAGCATGTCTATGTCTACAAAAATACCTTGCTGGGATTTTGATAGAAATTATATTAAATCTATAGATGAATTTGAAAAGAATTGACATTTCTGCTATGTTGAATCTTCCAATCCATGCCCATAATATATCTCTCCATTTATTCAGGTGTGGTTTTTTTGTTTGTTTCATCAGCATTTTGTAATTTTCAGCATGAAAACCTTGTGCATGTTTTTTGTTTTTTTGTGTGTGGTTTTTTAAAATACATTTTTATTAATTTCAGAGAGGAAGGGAGAGGGAGAGAGACAGAAATATCAATAATGAGAGAATTATTGATTGGCTGCCTCTTGCACTCCCCCTTCTGGGGATCAAGCCCACAACCTGGGCATGTGCCCTTGACTCGAATGGAACCCAGGACCCTTCAGTCTGTAGGCTGACGCTCTATCCACTGAGCCAAACCAGCTAGGGTTAATTTTTAAAAATTCACTTTGGCAATACATAAGATGGGGTAAATTAAATGCTTCAGGGGTCCAAATATAAGTTACTAACCAGGTACTGAATTAGTTTAAAGAAAGAATATTGCAGGAATTTTCAATACCGCTATATCCCCAGTGCCTAGAATATCCCCTGGCAAGAAACTCTCAGTAAAACTTTGAGTGACAGACTGTCAAAAGAACTTATTAAAAAGGAAAAAAAAATTGCCTGGCCAGTGTGGATCAGCGGTTGAGCATCGAACAATGAACCAGGAGGTCAGGGCACATGCCCAGGTTTCAGGCTTGATCCCCAGTACCGGGACATGCAGGAGACGGCCAATCAGTGATTCTCTCTCATCAGTGATGTTTCTATCTCTCTCCCTCTCCCTTTCGCTCTCTGAAATCAACAAAAACATTTAAAGAAAAAAAATTTACAAAGCAAAACCTACACTTAGTGAGAGGACCACTAGAGGGCGCTCCAGCCCAGTAGCTAACAGACTGGGGAACAGCACCAAGTAAAGCACTCATCCCTATGGGAGAATCTTAGGGTTCTCCTAGCACTAACCACACTCTAGGGTAGCTTCAGAAGAGTAAATCCTAGCCACCCTCCCCTTTCACATACCCCCATGTCTTTCCTCTTTTGTGTGTATGTTTTCTCATGTGTACAAGTCAACCCTCTGACCCAGAGGGTAGGATTGCAGGGCCTCTATGTGCAGTTCCTACATGCTGGAACACTTAATAAATGTTACATTTTGTGCCTCAAATAAAGGAAATAGAATGTCATAGGCAGAAGCCATGCCTGGGAATCAGGAGGTGGGTTTCTAGACAGTTCTTTATATTCACTGTAAGTTCATCAGGTCCCTAACATTGTGCTATAAGTTTTATAGGTAAACTAGAGGCCCGATGCACAAAATTCATGCAAGAGTAGGCTTTCCTTTCCCCAGCTGCTGGCACTGGCTTCCCTCTGACACCAGGACCCGAGTTTCCCTTGCAGCCTCGGCTTTGTCCGGAAGGTCGTGCAGAATGACGTCTGGTCTAATTAGCATATTACACTTTTATTATTATGGATAGTGTTACTCCATTTTACAGATAACAAAAACTGAATTTCAGAGTGCTTATCAAGGGTCACATAGATCATAAGCAGATTTTGAACCGAGGACATTTTGTCTACAAAACCCATGGAATTAACACTATACCATCAGCTTTGAGTTCAAATATGTGACTATTGAGAGCATTCATGCTTTCTGTGAGATCCAGTGAGGCTAGAAGACTGAATGTTGGGGTTCAGTTGGAGTCAGGGGAAGGGAAAGAAAAGGCAGTTATATTGGAGCCCTTCCTGGGGGGTAGGAGAGGGCAATGTCACCACCCAGAAGAACAGGGTGGACCCACCCTCGGCAAGAGTCTTCAAGGTTTCTATCTGTACGGACTGAACCTTTGTGTCTGCCCCAAAATTCACCTGTGATGGTAACTCCCAATAGGATGGCATTTAGAAGTGGGGCCTTTGGGAGGGAAGTAAGTTTAGAGGAGGTCGTGAGGGTGGGGCCCCCATGCTAGGGTTGGTGTCCTTATAAGAAAAGGAGATCAGAGCCCTCTCCTTCTGCCACGAGAGGACACAGCAAGAAGGTGGCCCTTTGCAACCCAAGAAGAGGGTCCTCACCAGGAAACAAATCTGCAAGCAACTTGATCTTGAACTTCCCTACCTCCAGAACTGAGAAATCAATGTTTGTTGTATAAGCCACCAGTCTGTGGGCTTTTGTTATAGCAGCCCAAGCAGATTGACTGACCATCCTTGCCCCACTGTATCCTTTTCTCTTCTTGGGACGACTCCCCCCACCCCTCTTCTCACATTAAAAGCTGCTCTCAGATAAAGACACCATCTAGTTCACAAGCTCCTCAGCTAACCTGAAGCACTCTGAAGTTTGGGAATCACTGGGGTGAGGAAGTATGGGCCCTGGACTAAGTAGGTTATAAAAATATTTAAAGTGGGATTCTGAATATGGGCAGGCTAATTCCCCCTTTCCCCTGCTTCATTTTCCTCTTATGTGAAATGCAGAGAGTAATACTCGTCTAGATTGTGGTGCGATTTAAGTGATTTTTTTTACCAGTCAAACCTCTTGCCCATGGTGCAGGCACAGAGCTGGGCCTCGGGAAGTGTTCGTTTCCTTTCTTCCTTACTTGTAGAGAATGCCAAAGACAGTTTACAGTTAGCAGAACCTTTTTGTTCAAAGAGAAAAGTTAAAATGGGAGAATATCAGGCATCAACTAGTGAGTAGAAGAGGTATTTGGGGCCTGAGGGTGGGGAAGAACATTTGGGGACCGAGGACCTTGATGAGTCACATTAACCATAAGGAAACTGTGGACACAAGTCACAATCCTCACCCAAAGCCAGAAGAAGGCCTCAACACACTCCCTGTGCTGGGTGGATCTGCTCAGAACTAGGGTTTGCTTGCGAACGCTTTCACACACACCCTCCCGATTTTTCCTCTAATCCACTTGTGCTGGAATCTTCTGTTGCCTCTTAAGATTCACTCTCCACCCTTTTCCAGCCTGCTCTGTGCCCCAGGAAGTTGGACTATAAGGCAGCATCAATGGGCTGCCTTGTCCTTTGTCCTCCAGCTGGATTAGGGCACCAGGGAGCTGGGCAGGAGAGCAGAGGGCAGGAGGCCAGCGGAGCATGAGTTTCTACTTCCTATTCCCTCCTTGTGCCATATGGTGGCAGCTCCATATGGTGCCTCTCCACAAATTCGTGCTCTTTCCCTCCCTCCCTCCCTCCCTCTCTCCTTTCCTCCCCCTACCCCTGAATTCCAGTAACCACACTCCCTTTGTTCCTTCCGGCCCGATCTGCCCCAAGTACCAAGGTTTCCCTTGTGGTTTTCCTACCTCTAGCCCACACCTTTATAAATTGTCTCTTTATTAAACCTCCTCAAATTACCTAGTTTGAGTGACACTGACTGACCATCCATGAAGGCGGGTTAGGTCCAAGAAGCCGGCATCCTGCTGGTCCCTGGTGACTACAGTGCTACTGTTCTTCAGTTGCCACCAAAGGATCTCTTTGTTGTTTCACTCTACTGGCCAACACACAACACCTTCTGAGACATCTCAGGTGGACACACCCAGGGCCATCCGCAGAAGGGCAACCCCAGGTAAATCGCCTCATGGGCACTCCACCACTCTCCAGCTCCATTGTGTTGTTTCTGCAATGGGAAGAAGATGATTAGCAAGGAATTAAGCCTAAGAACCTGCTCTTGAGGTCCAAGTAAAGAGTGCAGACCCTACTCTGAGCCAATAAAGTTTTTTTACAAGCCCTTAAACCCAGGAGACATATTAAAACATTGACTCCACCATTGGGAACCTTCATGTTAGTTCATATGTCCCATCATCATGGCCTCATGATCTTTAGAGGCACCTGTGATTTTTTGTATGACAAAGGATTCCTGTATTTTCTGCCCCAGATCAAGATTCAATCCTATATAATAAAAGGGTAATATGCAAATAGACGGAATGGCAGAACAACCGAACAACCAATCAAAGCGTAATATGCTGATATGCTAAGGCTGCTCAACCGCTCGCTATGACATACACTGACCACCAGGGGGCAGATGGTCCGACCGATAGGTTAGCATGCTGCTGGGGTCCAGCCAATCAGGACTGAGCGAGATGGGCCAGACATGCCCTGGAGCCCTCCTGTGGTTCCTCCCTGGCCCAAATGTGCACTGGTGGGGTCCCTCAGCCTGGCCTGCACCCTCTTCAATCCAGGATCCCTCAGGGGATGTCGGAGAGCTGATTTCAGCCCAATCCCACAGGCCACTCTCCTTGGGAGGGTGCCAGACACAGGGCTCATGGCTGGCGAGTGCTGCTGTGGCAGCCAAGCCTCTCCCCATTGGGACTGATTGGGCGCGAGCCTGCGGCAGGCACAGTGGGGCTGGGATGAGCAGGAGTGGCAGGTAGGAGCTGCAGGTGGTGTTGGACTGCAGGTTTCTTCCCAATCCCTGCAGGCCACCCAGAGGGACCCCACCTGTGCACAAATTTGTGCACTGGGCCTCTAGTCATTTATAAAAGACATGATAAGGAAAACAGGCAGATTCTCCAAGAATAACAATTCTCCAGAATTGTTATTCTGGAGAATAACAATATGGTTGAAAAGAAACAGCTCTTACAGTGAGAAACAGCCTTGCCATTGAGTTTATGGGAAGCAAAGCAGAATTGAGAGTTATGGTGTCACCACTGATGAGCACCAAAGGGCTGAATGTTGGGAGGCCTAAAGGTACAGAGTGGAGGTATTCATCAGCCAACATCTTGGGTTTGCAAGCAGGGCTATCCAAAAAGACCAAAGAGCAGAGAGAAAAACAAAACAAAACAAAACAAAAAAACAAATAGCAGAGAGAGAGTACAAGACAAACATGTTGATGGACAGGGACCCCAAAGCCATTCCCCAAGCACAACAGGCCTCTCCAGGCCTGCTTGGGGCACCTTCATTCCAATCATATCAATTAACCTCGTAAAGCATTTCCTGCCAGAAGACCAGGCCTGCATGCCTGTGGGTGATGGAGAGCGAGACTGCACGCAGTGATACTGCGAGTCCATCTGGAATGGAAGCCAGAGCTCCAGAAGAAAGGCTGCGTCTATCTCAGAGGCAGGCAGCAAAGAACATCCCTTATCACACAAGAAAGCACAGGAGCCTCCAAAGGCCACTGGGGCCATGGTGACAGGACTAACAGCTAAAGTGAAGGAGTCCCAATGTGGAAGGGGGAACACGGTCGGTCGGTCAACATCAATAACATTAGGAAAGGATTAAAACAAACACACACACCAAGTCACTTCTCTCCCACCACCCCCCTTCCCCTCCCCCGTCCCTTCCTAGCCTGCGGGGCTTCAGAAGTCAATCTCTACTTTGGTGTAGCTCAGTGAATCTGAAAGCAATGGCTCCTGCCACTTCCTTCCCAGGCAGCCACTCCTGGGGACCCTCTCGCGGGACTCCTTCCCCACACAGGTCCAGCTCAGCTGTATGAGACAAACACCAGAGAGGGCCAGTGCCTGCTTAGGGCTATTTTTAGACTGGGCCTGTGTGCCTGGTTGGCTACCCAGATAAATTCCACTTAAAATGATAAAAATCAGCCCCTTACCCCTCCCTGCCTACAGATCAAGTAGAACAAGATGGGATGGAAACTATTCACTCTGCACCCCCCTCCTTATCTTTCTTCTGGAAAACATTCCCCCACTCATTCTGCTTTTGTTCTTTGGACCTACAGCTACAAGTGCTAAAACAGCCATAAGCTAACAGATTTAGAAGAGCCTTGAAAGGAAGACAGAAATAAGCGATTTTGGCTCTGGGCAGCTAAGCACCCAAAAGTATCATCAATGGCTTCCACACGCCATTGGTGCCACCAGTTATCTGTCTAAAAGGCAACTCTCATCATGTACCTGCCTTGTAGGAGCTGATATGTGCTTACGGACTTGATATGAATGAGTCCCTGCTCTATAAAGAGGCAGAAACCAGCATAGACAAAAAGGCTGGGCAGGAAACAATTCATCAGTGAGTTCATCAAAGACATAAAATGTCACTGCTTGAAACCAGTAAGTTTTGGCCAGTGTGGCTCAGTTGGTTGAGCATCTTCCCATGCACTAAAAAGGTCGCAGTTCCATTCCAAGTCAGAGTGTTATAGGGACCTCTCACCGGCACGAGAGAGGTGATACCGGACAGGACAGCTCCCTGAGTCAGTGGAGAGGGCTGTCCCCAACCTTGATCCTTGTCTTCTCATATAAATGAATTTATACAAGAGACCTTGACTGAGTTGTGAAAAGCCAGTTTATTAAAGCATGCATTTCTGTTGAAAAAAAAGCAAAAGCAAAGCAAGCAAACCTATACATCTGACTTATGAAACACAGACAGGCTCTCAGCTAATCTGAAGGGCAAGTTGGGTGGGGGTCTGAGGCGTTATATACCCTCCTGGCTATAGGCTTCAAAATTTCTCTGCTGACTATTTTGGTATAGACTAATTCTCAAGGTTCCTTTTTAAAAAAAAAAGTTTTTATTGACTTCAGAGAGGAAAGGAGAGGGAGAGAGAGATAGAAACATCAGCGATGAGAGAGAACCATCGATCAGCTGCCTCCTGCACACCCCCCACTGGGGATCGAGCCCGAAACTCAGGCATGTGCCCTTGACTGGAATCGCACCTGGGACCCTTTAGTCCGCAGGCCAACACTCTATCCACTGAGCCAAACCAGCCAGTGCTCAAGGTTCCTTTTTTAATTTTGTTGTGGTCCTCCCAGAATTCATGAAAAGGACCTGGTAACTTTATCTTGCCAAGCCTTGAAACTGCTGGCTTCTCTGCTTAGAAGGCCCTAAAAACTGCCCTTTTTTTGTTCTTTCCCCTTAACCCCTCCCTTTCTGCATTCTCTCATTATGGAGGTTTTTCAACCATTTGTTCTATGTCCTTGGCTGGGGAAGATAATGGCTTGTTAGTTACAAGCTGGCTGCAAATTGCCCACACTGTTTGGCCTTGTTTTAACTTTCCTGTCTCAGATTCCCTATTCCTTCTGCCCTGGAATCCTGTAATAAGGGCACATGCCAAGGTTTTGGGCTCAATCCCTGGTCGGAGTGTGTCAGGGGTAAATTCAGGAGGCAGCCAATTGATTTATCTCTCTCACATCAATGTTTCTCTCTCTCTCTCTCCTTCTCCCTCTCTCTCAAAAATCAATAAAAACATTTTTTAAATTAAAAAATCCCATAACATTTTAATTATGAAAAAAATAAATAAATTGCCATTGCTGAGGGTTCTCGGAAATCTTCAGATCCACCCTTCTCATCTGACAGAAGATTAAATTGAGGCTCAGAAAAAGGAAGGGACTTGTCCAAGACTGAACAGCTACTTAGCAGCACCACACTCCTCATCCCAGGCTATTGCGCCTCCTACTGAGTGTTGAGTTTTTGAAGCAGGCCTCTTCCCAACAATCTCAACCACCCAAACATGCCCAGCCAATGAGGCACCAGAGCAAACCCCCCTTTCATAACAGTTCTTCCCAGGGGAGAATGGGCTACTGGCCTGGAAGGGAAGTGAGACTGGGTTCTAGGCCTGCCTCCGGCTTTTCACAGCTGTGTATTCTGGACAAACCCCTGCTCCCCTCTGGGCCTCAGTTTTTTGTTTTTGTTTATTTTTGAATAAGATGGACCTGGATAGAGTTAAAATTTGGCAATTCCATAGCTTTCTGGGAGGAAAGTTCTGGGAAGACCTTTGGGATTGCTTTCATATCACCTCATTCCAGAGCTGCGCTTATCCAACAGAAATATACTACAAGCCGTGGATATATATACTAATATATGTATATAATATTTCTTATAGTCCCACTGAAAAAAAAACAGGTGATATTAATTTTAATAATATATTTCACTTAACATAGTCAAAATACTATTTCAACATGTAATCAATATAAAACAAAATATTGAGATATTTTAATTATTTTTTCATACTAAGCCTTTTAAGTCTAGTGTGTATTTTACTGTTGTGAATGTGGACTAGCCATATTTCAAGTGCTGCCCAAGCACACGTGGCCAGTGGCTACCTGACTAGACAGTGTAGGACTAGATTTAGCTCAGGAGTGACCTGGGGCCTCACTCTTCTGCGGTCCATTCTAACTCCAAAGCCACCAATTTTCTTTATAAAAAACAACAACACTAAATCATGTCGCTCCCCAGCTTAAAAGATCTCTGATATTTCAAGCCTTCATAGGGCAAATTCTGAACACCCTGGCAAAATTGCCTTCACAACCTGGCCCCAAATTTCCTTTTAAACTGTTCTCTCCTTTTTCTTTCCAAATTGTGGCCACAGTGGCAGAAACTGTTCTCTCACCCAACAGGCTTTTCCATTCTCCTTGCATTTTTATCTCTCCGCTTAGGGCTCTCCTTGAAGATTCATTCCTTCATTCAAAGAGTGCCTTCTAAATGTCAGGCAGCCTGCGGGCTTTTGGACCCAACTCAAAGAGCTACAAGGAACCTTCTTTGATCAACTCTTACCCCTCCCCCTACTCTGGCCTCCCCGATTGTCCAATCCCACCCCGCTCCACCTTGTCCTTTAGCCCCAGCGCCCAGCTGGGTGATCTGTTCACGTGTCCTTTTCCCACACTCTCCCCAAAGCCTTGGAGGGAGCCTTCTGGGCCATTTCTCCAACGCCTGCCACAACGTGAAGCCTCAAAACCCCAAGAAGGGGGTGAATGGCCAGTCAATCCCGACTTTCTCTTCTGAGGAACTAAAGCCCGAAACTCGGATGGTTGAAGGGAAAAGCCAGCCCGAAACCCTCGTGCAAGCCTTCCCGGAGAGGCGCGGGTCGCCGTAGTCCCCCGCAGAGCGAGGAGACCCGCCCCCGCCCACCGAGACACGAACCCAACCACCTCTCGCCCCCCCGCCCGCCCCCCCAGCGTGGCCAGGACAGACCCCGGCAAGGCGCAG